CTCCGGGGCTTCCTCTCCGGGGAGCAAAGTGGGGGAAGAGGAAACCGTCAGAGAACCAGAGGCAGGCAAGAGATGACAAGAGACCAGGGCAGAGGGGACCGGATCCCAGAAGGCGTTCAGGGTAGGAAGAGGCAGACGGGTCCCAGAGTTGAACATTTCTCGCTTGGGATTCCGACTCAGGGATCCTGCATTGTCCCAGGAGCTCGGACTCCAGGGCCTGGGAGAACCGGGGTGAAGCAGCTCCCCAGCCTGGCCCGGCCACCCAGAGAGAGACCTCTCCTAGGCCTCCAGCCCCCACCCTCACCCCAGCTCCCACATCTTTGGGTCAAGCCCTGCCAGGCTACCCCTCTGCGCCCCGCCCAGCCACAAGCCCTACCTCTGGGGCCTCGGCCACTGATCTGAGCCTGGGGGTCCCGGCGCCTAAGAGGTAGGGCTGTCGGTTCCCTGGGGCCTCCTGGCCCCGGGCAGTGGCGGGACTCGCAGGCGGCGATCACAGGCTGCCCCGTCCTCTTCGGGGGCCGCAGCTCATTCTGCGAGGCATCTCCGTGTAAAGTTTGCTCTCCGAAAAGAAGGAACCCGAGCCTCCTCCGAGGAGCCCAAGCGCGGCCTCTGAAGCACCAAGGGTCTGGAGACGATGTGGGAGGGGGCGGCGGAGTCCCCCGCTGCTCCCGGTGGCAGCCGGCGAGTTGGTGTCCCGAGTCTCCTCCCGCGTGGCCCCGCTGGGTCCTTGTCTCCGCTCCTCGGCTCCCCTGGGTCTGCCTCTCCGTCTTTCTCTTTCTGAGCTGTTGACAACCCCCACACCAGGAAGTCCTGCCTCCTCGGGCCTGCTGACTGCTCCTCTCCTCCTCCTCCTCCTTCCCCTCTTCCTCCCCTTCCTCCTCCCTCCCTCCCTCCTGGGGCTCCCCGCCAGCTGGCCAGGGGCCAGGCCTGCCACAGCCGCTGCTGTTGCAGTTGTTGCGGCCGCTGCTCAGGCTGCTGCTCCTGGGGGCCGCAAACAGACTCCCTTAACCCCACACCTGCCGGGCCCCAGCACCACTCTTGCAGGGAGGGGCTGCAGAGGGCGGGGCTCGGGGAGAAAGGGGAGGAGCTTGCAGGGAGGCGAGGGATTCCCTTACTTGTAGTCAATTGTTGCCCCTCTCCTAGAGACTCACCAAAGAGAGGGACGGCACAGGCCTGGAGGTGTACTGGGTGCCCCCCCAGAAGTGCCTAGTTCCTGCTGTGGGGCGGCTGTGGCTATTACCGTCATTCTCCTTTCCTTTCCACAGCAACTAAATGAGGAAGGTACTATTATTCCCCTCATTCCTTATTTTTAAAAGTGGATTATTGCCGAATACTGTGGCTCACACCTGTCAATCCCTGCACTTTGTTTGGGAGGCCGAGGAAGGAGGATAGCTTGAGACCTGTTTGGACAATATAGCAAGACCCGGCCCCTACAAAAAATAAAAGAATTAGTTGGGCATGGTGAGGTGCACCTATAATTCCAGCTACTCAAAGGCTGAGGTGGAAGGCTCGCTTGAGGCCAGGAGTTCGAGACCAGCCTGGGCAATGTAGCGAGATCCCTGTCTGTACAAAAAATTTTAAAAATTAGCTGGGCATGGGGAGGTGCACTGGTAATTCCAGCTACTCAAATGCTGAGGGAGGAGGATTTCTTGAGCCGAGGAGTTTGAGACCAGCCTGAACAATATAGCCAGATCTCCATCTCTACAAAAAATTTTTTAAAAAATTAACTGAATGTGGTGATGTACACATATAGTCCCAACTACTCAGGAGGCTGAGGCAGGAGGATCTCATGACCCCAGGAGGTCGGGCCTGCCATGAGCCAAGATGCACTCCAGCCTGGGCAACAGAGTGAGATGACATTTCATTCAGTGAAATGACATTGTTCGGGAGCCAGCTGTATTTTGCTAGACTATTTGAAATCAAATCCTGGACATTATATTATTCCCCTCTCCCCCACCCTCCTCCTTTTTATTAGAGACAGGGTCTCTCTCTCTCTCTCTCTGTTGCCCAGGATGGAGCACAGTGGTGTGATTAAAGCTCACCACAGCCTGGAACTCCTGGGTTCAAGCCATACTCCTGCCTCAGCCTCCCAAGTGGCTAGGACTTTAGACGCATGCCACCACACCCAGCTAATTTTTAAATTTTTGTAGAGGTGGGGCTGTCACTATGTCCCCCAGTATGGTCTCAAACTCCTGGCTTCAATTGATCCTCCTGCATCAGCCTCCCAAGTAGCTGGGACTACAGACACAAACTACCATGCCTGGCTACATTTCTTATAATTTTTTTTGGTTTTTTTTTTTTTTTTTGAGATGGAGTTTCACTCTTGTTAGCCAGGCTGGACTGCAATGGTGCAATCTCGGCTCACCGCAACCTCCGCCTCCTGGGTTCAGGCAATTCTTCTGCCTCAGCCTCCTAAGTAGCTGGGATTACAAGCACGCGCCACCATGACCAGCTAATTTTCTGTATTTTTTTAGTAGAGATGGGGTTTCACCATGTTGACCAGGATGGTCTCGATCTCTTGACCTCGTGATCCACCCGCCTCGGCCTCCCAAAGTACTGGGATGACAGGCGTAAATTTTTTTTTTATAGAGATAGGGGTCTTGCTATGTTGCCCAGGGTGGTCCTGAACTCCTGGCCTCAAGTGATCCTCCTGCTTCTGCCTCCCTAGTAGCTGGGACCCAGGTGTATACCACCACACCTGGTTAATTTTTTAGTTTTTGTAGAGACAGGGTCTTACTATGTTGCCCAGGCTGGTCTTGAACTCCTCGCCTCAAATGATTCTCCCACCTAGGCCTCCCAAAGAGCTGACATTACAGGTGTAAACCATGGTACCTGGCTTCAGGGAAATTTCTAACCCCTCTTTAGGGTTAGGTAAAAATAAAACAATGCAATACCCACCCGCTTTATGTGTTTATTCTTTATCTCTTTGTCAAAAGCATCCACTCCTATTTCTCTCCCTTAAGCCATAGTAACAATGGCTGCCATAGCGCAGGTCTGTGGGCCTCCCAAGTAGTGAGGTCTGGAAAGCAGCCTCCTGCCTGCCCCTACTCCTCCAGAGTGCACCCTCTGTGCCTTACAGAACCTCTTCTCCTCTAGCAACATACAAAACACAGCCTTAGTTCCTCCATCCCCAGACCCTCCTACCTTCTTGCTGACTTGCTACAAACTATTCAAAAATGATATTTGGACAGTCTCCTTCTCTGCCTCAGGCACTGGTATCTGAGTCTAAAGTCCCTGGCACATTTTTGATCTCTGCAGAAGTGTTTGTTGAGTGAATACATGCAAAGTTTTATTATTTAATTTATATTTTATTTTATTTGAGATGGAGTCTTGCTCTGTCACCCAGGCTGGAGTGCAGTGGTATGATTTCAGCTCACTGAAACCTCTGCCTCCCGGAATCAAGCAATTCTCCTGCTTCAACCTCCCGAGTAGCTGGGATTACAGGCACCCACCACCACTCCGGGCTAATTTTTATATTTTTAGTAGAGATGGGGGGGGTCTCACCATGTTGGCCAGGCTGGTCTTGAACTCCTGACCTCAAGTGATCTGCCTGCCTCAGCCTGCCAAAGTGCTGGGATTACAGACATGAGCCACCACGCCCGGCCTATACATATAAACTAATCATACTAATGTGTAAATGTGAAATGGGTTTTAAGTGTTTTAATATTTCCCTCCCCTGGGAGCATTCTTAATAGCCTTTAATGTGTGGGACCCTTTACAATTTACAAGGCACTTTGGTATTATTTTACTACCCCTCCCCTTCTAACAAATAATGGACTAAAGCCAGCTCATCCAACCCACACAGGCAGCATGGGGCCCAGGACAAATTCGTAAACTTTCTTAAAACAGGAATTTGGCTGGGTGCAGTGGCTTATGCCTGTAATTCCAGCACTTTGGGAGGCCAAAAGGGGCAGATCACCTGAGGTCGGGAGTTTGAGACCAGCCTGAGCAACATGGAGAAACCCTGTCTCTACTAGAAAAAAAAATACGAAATTAGCCAGGCATGGTGGCACATGACTGTAATCCCAGCTACTTGGGAGGCTGAGGCAGGAGAATCACTTGAACCCTGTAGTCGGAGGTTGTGGTGAGTCAAAATCGTGCCATTGCACTCCAGACTGGGCAACAAGAGGGAAACGTGGTCTCAAAACAAAAAACAAAAAAATAAAACCGTTAGGAGTTGGGGCGGGGGGATTGCGGTTTAAAGGTCATCGGCTATCGTCAGTGTTAGTGTTGGTGTTTTTTTTTTCCAGAGACAGTCTCACTCTCTCACTCAGGCTGGAGTGCAGTGGCCTTTTCTCAGCTCACTGCAACCTCCACTCCCAGGTCAAGCGATTCTCCTGCCTCAGCCTCCTGAGCACCACCTTGCCCAGCTTATTTTTTGTATTTTTAGTAGAGACAGAGTTTTGCCACGTTGGCCAGGCTAGTCTCAAAACTTCTGACCTCAGGTGATCCACCAGCCTTGGCCTCCCAAAGTGCTGAGATTACAGGCGTGAGCCACCGCACCCTGCCAGTGTTAGTGTATTTTATGTGTGTCCCAAGACAAATTCTTCGTCCAATGTGGCCTAGGGAAGTCAAAAGAGTGGACATCCCTGGACTAAAATGTCTCTCAGAGAGGTTGCCGATCTCTCTAAAGCCACACAGCAAGTCTGTAAAGACGCTGCCATGGAAAGCAGCATTCCCAGGCTCCAGGGATCAGGCGGTGCCTATCTTTGCTGTGTTCATTTTCCAGCCCGTTGAGGATAAAACTGAAGTCTTCTCGAAGCTGATTTACGCTAATTTACCCCCGCCATAGAGCTGTGCGCCCAAGGCATTTCGGAAAGAATTATTTCTAGGCGAGATAAGAAAAGTGATAGGGAGGTCAAGGTCACGTCCCGCACCGGCCCCGCGACAGTGCCAGGGTGGTGGCCGAGCTGGCCACACTCAGAGGTCGACCCTGCTCGTTGCGAGCGGCGTCGAGAGTCAAAGGTCATGGGAGGAGGACCCGGGCCGCGGGGCGGATGACTTTGAGCCCAGACGGTGGAACGAGGTTCCAAGGGGAGGCGGCCGAGACCCGGCGAGCCAACTCGGGTGCTCTCCGGGCACCTGGGGGCGGCGGGGAATGGGGGTGCAGCCGCGGGAGCATGCCCCCTGCTGGGCAGAGCCGCCGCCCGTCCCGCTCCCCACCCTCGGAGCCCCTCGGCCCGGAAAGCGGCCCCCCCTGCCGGCCTCAGCGCCTCACTGCACCCCGGGCCCAGCAGCCGCAGCATGGGCCCCGGCCCGACGCTGAGTGCCGACCAGGGGCGCGCCGGGTGCACGGGGTGCACGGGCCCCAGGCTACCGCTGGGGGGCGCCGCTGCTTGCCGCTCCGCCGGGGCCTGGGAAACCCAACCCAGCACCGCCCGGCCGGGCAGGGGGCGAGGGGCGGCGAGGACCGGACGCCTCAAGGCCAGGACGGGTTGGCGCCGGGCCCTCAGAGCCCCACGACCTTCTTCCGAATCTGCCCCCGCAGGCTCCGCCGCTCCCGCGCCTCGCGCCCCAGCCCCGCGGCCCCGCGGCGCCGCGCGGCACGGCCACTCCCGCTCCGTCCTTGGAGGGTGTGGAAGGGTGGGTTTGGGGCCGGGGGCGGGTCTGGGGGCGGACCCGGAGGCGGGGCTGTCTCTGCGGCAGGGCCCAGCTCCGCTCCCCCCGGTCTGTCTCTGTCTCCCTCCTCCCTCCTCCTGCTCCGGGCGGAGCCCGGCATGGGGGGGCCGGCGCCCGGCAGGCCAGGTACGGTGATGGAGAAATTGGGGAGGCTTGGTGCAGGGAGGTTGGGGTGGGAGGACAAGGGACAGGGAGGATTGGTGGAACGAGAGGCGGAGAAGCCCAGGGTTGCAGGACAAGGGGAAGGGGAGGGGTGCCGGGAACCTGGGGCCCTTGGATGGAGAAGGGGGATGAAGCAGGCCAGGTTTGGAACAGGGGAAGGGGGAGGACGGCGGTAAGGAGGGGTGCCTGGGAGGAGAAGTGAGGCTGAAGGCGAAAAGAAGAGTGTGGGTTTGGGGGAAGGAAAACCGGAGCAGGTATGGAGGCCGCAGCCCAGAAGGTAGCAATGGGGCCAGACTGGAGCCCCCTGGGTGAGATTGAGGGGGATTGAGGGGGATTGAGGGGCGGGGACTGGAAGAGGAAACCCAGGGGCCTCCAAAATCCTGGAGGAAGAAGAAGGTGATTGGGGCCATCAGTGAGGGAGGGAGGCAGAGACCAAATCATTGCTAAAGGGCCAGGTAGCTGGAATCGGGGTGGACCAAGGCCCAGGCCTGGGAAAGGACTGGAAAGTGGGGGGGGGAGGCAGGCAGTGGAGATAGATGGATGGGTGGTATTTTAGATGCCCAAGTCAGGGTGTCTACCATCTTTCCTTCAGCGTCCCCACCCTGCCCTTATGAGATCCCCCCACTACAAGCCCAAGATGAAGGGGAGAGTCTGACCATCTCCCCTTTCCCCAGTGGGGTGCAATGTACGCAAGTAGGCCCTGGGCATAACTCCTTGCCTGTAGGTGTGTCCGGTTCTGTGTAGCAGATTTGTGTGTGTCTGGAGGTCTGTGTGTGTGTCTGTGGGTGTGTCTGTGGGTGTTTATGTCTGTGTGCCTGTCTATCCCTAGGTTTCTGTTTACCTATGCCAATCTCTGTGTCTGGTCCTCTGTCTGTAGATGTGGGTCGGTGGCTCCGTGGTTTGTGTGTCTGAATGTGTGTTTGTGTAGCTGAGGGGTTGCAATCTGTGGGGCCTGTCTGGGTGGTCGATCAGGATGTCTTTACCAAGGAAGGGAGTCTGTGTTGACCTGGTCTCCCCGGAGTTTGTGTTTGCAGCTCTGAACACCTTTGTCAGAGTCTGTGTCTGTCAGTCTGTGGGTCCTCAAAGCTGTGTTAGGTTTTCTGTGTTTTCCTCCCCTAGGACTCGAGTCATGTCTCTTCTTTTTCTCTTTCATTCATTCCTGGCCCCCACCCATCCCACCTTTCTTTTTTTTCCTTCTCACCCACCGCCCCCACCCAGTGGATCCGGGACCCAGGGAGGGCCGCCCCCCGGGCCTGGTGGCACTGAGCAGGGCCCCCCAGCCCCCACCTCCTGCCCCACGAGATGAACCTCCTCTACCGAAAAACCAAGCTGGAGTGGAGGCAGCACAAGGAAGAGGAGGCCAAGAGGAGGTAAGGCTGTGCTCCAGAATGCTCCCTCCCCTTCCACACCTCTGCCTGCCCCCTCACTGGGCCCTTCCAGAGGGCCCTGGCAGCTGGAATGGGGGTGAGCTGGGTAGGGTAATAGAGTCATGAGTGAGCTCTCTGATCTCCAAGTCTGTGCTCAGTACAGAACCACCAGGATTGTACACAGACTATCCCAGCCCTGTTCCTGGCCTCCTGTGGGGTAGGGGGGATTTTCTAGCCCTGGAGCACCCCTTTGGTTGTTCCCCATACCCAGAGGTCCAAGTCACTCCTTCCTGACTCACCTCTGGCCTGTAGCCCTTTTTGTCTCTGCAAATTTGGGGCTGGCTTTGGGCTGTCTTGTCATCTGACCTTGGAAGGGGCAGGCCCCGCCTCCCTCCCAGGGTCTAGGGAAGGGGTCATTTCAGGGGCATCAGAGAACATCCAGTTGGCCTTCTCCCCGTTTCTCCTGCTGGGGGAGGTGAGTGGTTAAGTGACAGGGTTGTGTGTATGGTGGGTGGACATGCAGGCTAGGCCCTGCCAAAGACCTGCGGCTGGAGTTGATCCCTGGACCCCTGCATCCCTGTCTGCCTCCCCTCTTGCCCTTCCAGGGACCTGGGGCCTGGCCTCTCCCATCCTTCTCTCCTTCTCCTCTTCACTCCCATTGACTTCACAGCCACTTGGAGCCTGACTCACAGCCACCTCCCTTTTTCTTTCTCGCCACTGTGGAGTTTAATTCTTGTTGTTAATTAGATTAATCAGAGTGATTGCTGCAGCGATCTCTCCCTAATGAAGGGTTAGTAGACAGGGCCTTAATGAGCGCCCACCCCACACAGCTCTTCTCTCTTCCCTGCCAGTTGTCCCTGTCTCCCACCGCCCTCCACTCATACAGAAGCAGAGGGACAGTGAAATGGAATGGGGGTGAACTGGGGAGGGCGATAGAGAACAGCACCAAGGGAGAGGGTGGAAGAAGGATGGGCCAGGGGAGGGAGGCTGCTCTGGTCCTGGAGGGGCAGGTCCTGCGTCTGGGACAGGAGGTATGCAGTTGGGGTGTAGGTCACAGTGGCTGGGCAGGAGGGGAGACCAAAGGCCACGTGTGGGCCAGTGCGAGAGTGAGAGGGGTGGAGGAGCTGTGGGGCAGGTGTGTCCATTTGTGTTACCTGTGTCTGTATCTCTAGCTCTGCACAAGGCTGTCCACACAGGTGCCCAGGCTGCGATCCACCAGCCCCAGGGATGCTCCCCTGCTAGACATACTCACCCCTCTTCTCATCCCTGCCCCCAACTGCTTTGCCTTTTTAAAGCCCCAGATTCTGCCTGAAGCCCCTTCACCCGTGCCCTGGACTTTCTGGCACCCCTATCCCCACCCCAGGCTCCTGTCCTCCTCCCTGGGAAGCCACAGGGTTGCTGACACCTCTTGGGGTGGAGAAGGGGGAGGCCTAGGTCCCAGGCCTTTCCTCCACTCCATCGTGGTCTTCTCTCCCCAGCTCCAGTAAGGAGGTGGCCCCCGCAGGCCCGGCTGGGCCCGGGGCTGGACAGGGGCCTGGGGTCCGAGTGCGGGACATCGCCTCGCTGCGGCGCTCCCTCAGGATGGGGTTCATGACGATGCCTGCCTCCCAGGAGCACACCCCGCACCCCTGCCGCAGCGCCATGGCCCCACGCTCCCTCTCCTGCCACTCAGTGGGCAGCATGGACAGTGTCGGGGGTGGCCCCGGCGGGGGCGGTGGGGGCCTCACAGAGGACAGCAGCACCCGAAGACCCCCTGCCAAGCCCCGGAGACACCCCAGCACCAAACTCAGCATGGCGGGGCCGGGGTCTGGGGCAGAGACGCCCCCCAGCAAGAAAGCAGGTGAGATACCTGCTATCTCTCCCTGGGGTAGAGCTGGGAGCTGGGAGGATCTATTCCAGGCCGGGGGAGGCTTGCCGGGAGGGTTCATTCAGGGAAGAACCGAGGAAGTGGAAGATTCCATTCTCAAAAGGAATGGGGGCGTCTTTTTGGATGGGCCTGAGATGAACCATTCAAGGGCAGGGGACACTCCCTGAAAAGTTCTTGAGAAGGGGTGGTGGCCTCACAGGAACAATGAGGGTAGGAGCTGCGGATTCTGGAGAATACATTAGAAAGACTGAGGACTGTGGGACAGGCACGATGGCTCATGCTCATAATCCCAGCATTTTTTATTTTTTATTTTTTGAGACAGTCTGGCTCTGTCACCCAGGCTGGAGTGCCATGGCGTGATCTCAGCTCACTGTAACCTCCACCTCCCAGGTTCAAGCAATTCTCCTGCCTCAGCCTCCCAGGTAGCTGAGATTAGAGGCACCTGTCACCACACCTGGCTAATTTTTTGTAATTTTAGTAGAGACAGTGTTTCGCCACGTGGACCAGGCTGATCTCCAACTCCTGGCCTCAGGTGATCCACCATCTCAGCCTCCCAAAGTGCTGGGATTACAGGCATGAGCCACCACACCTGCCCAATTAATTGACTTTTTAAAAAGACCAAGGGCTGACTGGTAGAAAAGTAACCTACAGCTGGGCATGGCAGCTCATACCTGGAATCCTAGCGCTATAGGAGTCAGAGGCAGGAGGATCACTTGAGCCCAGAAGTTTGGGGCTCGTCTCTATTAAAAAATAAAAAAGATATGAAGGGGCTGTAAGCTGAGGAATGTGGGGAAAAGATATGTCCTTGCAGAGGGGTCAAGGGATCAGAATGGGCTCCCCAGATTTGCTCCACCATGCCTGGCCAATGAAAAGCCTGGTTTACTTTTCTCTTCCTTGTCCTGTCCAGGCTCACAGAAGCCAACCCCGGAGGGCCGAGAGTCCAGCCGGAAGATTCCTCCGCAGAAGCCCAGGCGAAGCCCCAACACCCAGCTCTCTGTCTCCTTTGATGAGTCCTGCCCCCAAGGCCCCTCTCCTCGAGGGGGGAACCTGCCTCTTCAGCGCCTCACTAGGGGGTCCCGAGTAGCTGGGGACCCTGATGTGGGTGCCCAGGAAGAGCCTGTGTACATTGAGATGGTGGGGGACGTCTTTAGGGGAGGAGGACGAAGTGGAGGAGGCCTTGCTGGGCCCCCTCTTGGGGGTGGGGGCCCAGCCCCTCCAGCGGGCGCCGACTCAGACTCTGAAGAAAGTGAGGCCATCTATGAGGAGATGAAGTACCCGTTGCCGGAAGAGGCTGGGGAAGGCCGGACCAACGGCCCTCCTCCATTGACGGCAACATCCCCGCCACACCAGCCTCACGCCCTTCCAACCCATGCCCACCGCCGCCCAGCTTCAGCCCTCCCGAGCCGGAGGGACGGGACGCCCACCAAGACCACTCCTTGTGAAATCCCTCCCCCCTTCCCCAACCTCCTTCAGCACCGGCCTCCACTCCTGGCCTTCCCCCAACCCAAGTCTGCTTCCCGAACCCCTGGCGATGGGGTCTCGAGGCTACCTGTCCTCTGCCACTCCAAGGAGCCAGTCGGCTCCACCCCAGCTCCCCAAGTGCCTGCACGGGAGCGGGAGACGCCTCCCCCACCGCCTCCACCTCCTGCTGCCAACCTGCTGCTGCTGGGACCATCGGGCCGGGCCCGGAGCCACTCAACACCATTGCCACCCCAGGGCTCTGGCCAGCCCCGGGGGGAGCGGGAACTCCCCAACTCCCACAGCATGATCTGCCCTAAGGCGGCGGGGGTGCCGGTAGCACCCCCTGCCCCGGCCGCCTTGCTCCCCGCCCCCCCCAAGGACAAGGCTGTGTCTTACACCATGGTGTACTCGGCGGTCAAGGTGACCACACACTCCGTCCTGCCCGCCGGTCCACCCCTGGGTGCTGGGGAGCCGAAGACGGAGAAGGAGATCTCAGTCCTCCATGGGATGCTGTGTACCAGCTCGAGGCCCCCCATGCCAGGGAAATCCAGCCCCCACGGTGGGCCCATGGGCGCGACAGCTGGGGTTCTCCACCACCGAGGCTGCCTAGCCTCCCCCCACAGCCTTCCAGACCCAACTGCAGGCTCCCTGACCCCACTGTGGACCTACCCAGCTACAGCAGCTGGGCTCAAGAGACCCCCTGCCTATGAGAGCCTCAAGGCTGGGGGGGTGCTGAATAAGGGCTGTGGCATGGGGGCCCCATCCCCCATGGTCAAGATCCAGCTGCAGGAGCAAGGGACTGATGGGGGTGCTTTTGCCAGCATCTCCTGTGCCCATGTCATCGCCAGTGCAGGGACACCAGAGGAGGAAGAGGAGGAGATGGGCGCTGCCACATTTGGAGCAGGCTGGGCCCTGCAGAGGAAGGTCCTCTATGGAGGGAGAAGAGCAAAGGAGTTGGACAGTGAGTGAGGAGTGGGGAGTTGGGGGGGGTGCTGGTGTCGGGGGAGGGGGCCAGCTGGGGATGCCTACGATGGTTTGGGGGAGGTGTTGGAGGGGTTATTTGAAAGTCACAGCCTTGAGTCTGGGATGTTTTCTAGTAGACCAGAGCGATGGGGGTGGGCAATATGCAGAAAGGATGGGGTCCCCCCAGTGTGTGCTAGAGGGGCAGAAAGCTCTGGGAGACGAAGGGGGTCAAATCTGGCCCTGTCCTGCTCTGCTCCCTGCCCCTCCCTTCCTAGGGCTGCAGGGGTGTGTGCTTGTGAGTGTGCGCACCGGCAACTAAACACAGCTGCCTCCCAGCTGTTACCATGGCAACCTATCCAGACAGGAGGGAGAGGAGAGGGAGGCCCCTACCGTTGCCTGGCAACGCAATGCTCTGCCAGGCCTCCTCTCAGAGCTGAGCTTAGTTCACAGGCAGCCCTTCCCCCCAGCACTGCCCTTCTGGGCTCAGAAATTGGGATTCTCCCCCTACAGTCCCAGAGGGATGGTCATTCTCACCCTATCTGGAGGTGGGGGGTCTTGGAAGCTAAAGCTGGGGTTAGGGAGGCCCCTCTGACCAGGGAAAAGGGTTTGGATGCAGCACATATACATGATTCTCAGCCCCAGGAGATGGTACCAATGGATGGAAAGGAAGGTGGTGGTACTAGGGTCCCTCCTGTGTGTTTGTGCATGTGCGCACGTGTGTGTGTGTGTGTGTTGGGGGAGTGTGAAGGAGCCCTATCCCAGCTGTGAGTTGCAAAAGGGCAGTTCTGCCTCCTGGTCCACCCGTGCTGCAGCATGTGTGGCTGGAGGGACAGAAGGATGCTTCCCACGTGCAGGCACACACCTCTCCTTGTCATCCCAGCAGAGATCGAGGACGGTGCCCGTGCCTGGAATGGCAGTGCCGAGGGTCCAGGCAAGGTAGAGCGTGAGGACAGGGGCCCTGTGACATCGGGGATCCCAGTGAGGAGCCAGGGGGCAGAGGCCCTGCTGGCCAGGATCCACCATGGAGGAGACCGAGGAGGGAGCCGCACCTCGCTGCCCATTCCCTGCCAGACCTTCCCTGCCTGCCACCGAAATGGAGGTGACGCGGCCTGCACACACCTGTGCACAGCGGGGCTGGCTGGGGGATCTCCCGGAGTCTAGCCTCACCTGTTCTGACTTCCACTCACCTGTTCATGTCTACATCCAGGGCCTTAAATCTTCATACCACATCTTCACCCCCTTTTCCCCTCTGATGAGGCAGGGGCAGCTGGGACCATTCAAGGGTAGGGGACTGGGAACTAGGGGAGGGGGCACCTGAGGCCCCTGCCCTACTCACTCCTTCTTCTACCTCAGACTTCACGGGAGGCTACCGCCTGGGGCGCTCAGCCTCCACCTCCGGAGTCCGGCAGGTCTCGCTCCACACCCCCCGGCCTTGCAGCCAGCCCAGGGATGCCCCGAGCCAGGTGAGGCCTGGTTTTTCTTTTGCTTGTGAAGGAGCGGGTGAGGAAGGCTTGAATGTGCAAAGAAAAGCAATAAAGGGGCCAGGGCTGGGCATGGTGGCTCATGCCTGTAATCCCAGCACTTTGGGAAGCCAAGGTGGGAGGGTCACTTGAGACCAGAAGTTCATTAGCTTAGGCAACACAGTGATAGCCTGTCTCTATTTAAAAAAAAAATAAAGAAGGCCAGGTATGGTGGCCTGTAATTGGGATTACATGCCTGTGATCCCAATGCTTTGGGAAGCCAAGGCAGGTAGATTCCTTGAGCCCAGGAGCTCAAGACCTGGTCTCATTGCGAGACCCCATCTCTATAAAAAATGTAAATTGTAGCAAAGTGTGCCAGCACAAGTATTCCCAGCTACTCTGGAGGTTGAGGTAGGAGGATGGCTTTCCACTGGGAGGTGGAGGTTGCAGTGAGCCATGATAATGCTACTGCATTCCAGCCTGAGCCACAGAGCAAGATCTTGTCTCAGAATTAAAAAAAGAAAGGGGCTGGGCAGGGAGTGGTGGCTCATGCCTGTAATTGCAGCACTTTGGGAGACCAAGGTGGGCAGATCACCTGAGGGCAACAGTTTGAGACCGCCCTGCTAACATGGTGAAACCCTGTCTCTACTAAAAATACAAAAATTAGGATGTGAGGGTGGGCACCTGTATTCCCAGCCACTCGGGAGGCTGAGGCTAGAGAATCACTTGAGCCCAGGAGGTGGAGGTTGCAGTGAGCTGAGATTACACCACTGAACTCCAGCCTGGGTAACAGAGTGACACTCTGTCTCCAAAAAAAAAAAAAAAAAAAAAAGCTGGGCACAGTGGCTCATGTTTGTAATCTCAGCACTTTGAAATGCCAAGGTGATCGGATCGTTTGAGGTCAGGAGTTTGAGACCAGCCTGATCAACATGGTGAAACCCCGTCTCTACTAAAAATACAAAAGTTAGCCAGGTGTACTGGTGTGTACCTGTAATCACAGCTACTCGGGAGGCTAAGGCAGGAGAATCACTTGAACTCCGGAGGTAGAGGCTGCAGTGAGCTGTACTCCACCCTGGGTGACAAAATGAGACTCCATTTCTTAAAGAGAAAAGGGGGGGGGCGGGGGAAGGGCTATGTAGGCTGGAGCCTGAGCCAGCACAAACTAATGAAAATGAGAGTAAGGGGATTGGGAGAGGATCTGGGAAGGGTTTGCTTAAGATGGGCAGCAAGGTAAGGCCCAGCTTGCATATCTCCAGAGTGACGAGATCAGTTAGGGCCACCACTAGCTAACAGCGCACCTTTGTGTGATTTAGGAAAAGGACCCCCTCCCTGGGCACCATGGCTTGTGCCTGTAATCCCAGAACTGTGGGAGGCAGAGACGATGGGAGAATCGCTTGAACCCAGGAGGCTGAGGTTGTAATGAACTGTGATTCATCCATCATAGCACTCTATCCTGGATGTCAGGGCAAGACCCTGTCTCAAAAGAAATAAAACAAAGAGGTCAGCCATGGTAGCTCATGCCTATAATCCTAGCACTTTGGGAGGCTGACGCAAGGGAATTGGTTGAGTCCAGGAATTCTGTGCCAGCCTGGGCGACATAGGGAGACAGTCTCTCTTTTTTTTTTTTTTAAGACGGGGTTTCACCATGTTGGTCAGGCTGGTTTTGAACTCCCAACCTCAGGTGATCCGTCCACCTTGGCCTCCAAAATGCTTGGATTACAGGCGTGAGCCACCACACCCAGCCGGGAGATAGTCTCTACAAAAAATTTAAAAATTAGCCAGACATGGTGGTATGTGCCTATGGTTCCTGCAACTCTAAAGGCTGAGGCAGGAGAATCACTTGAGCCTGGGAGGCAGAGGCTGCAGTGGGCCGTGGTCATGCTACTGCATTCCAGCCTGGGTGGCAGAGAGAGAACCTGTCTTTAAAAAAAAGAAAAGAAAGAAACACAGAAAAAGTACCCTGCCCACCTTTGCCCCAACTGGGCACAGTAGTTGATGCCTGTAATCCCAGTGCTTTGGAAGGTCAAGATGGGAGGATCTCTTGAGGCCAGGAATTCAAGACCAGATTTGGCAACAAAGCAAGATCCCATCAATACAAAAATAAAATTTAATTTAATTTATTTTTTTTTTTTGAGATTGAGTCTTGCTCTGTCACCCGGGCTGGAGTGCAGTGGTGCAATCTCCACTCACTGCAACCTTCACCTCCTGGGTTCAAGCGATTCTCCTGTCTTAGCCTCCGGAGTAGCTGGGACTGCAGGCACGCGCCACCACACCCAGCTGAAGTTTTGTATTTTTAGTAAAGACGGGGTTTCACCATGTTGGTCAGGATGGTCTTGAATTCCTGACCTCGCGATCCACCTGCCTCAGGCTCCCAAAGTATTGGGATTACAGGCGTGAGCCACCGTGCGGGGCCAATTTAATTTAATTTTTTAACAATTAGCTGGTGTAGTGGCCCACTCCTGTAGTCCCAGCTTCTTGGGAGGGAGGCTGAAGCTGGCGGATCCTTGAGCCCAGGAGGTTGAGGCTGCAGTGAGCTGTGACTGCACCACTGCACTCTGGTCTGGGCGACAGAGCCAGACCATGTCTCAAAACAACAACAGCAACAACAAAAAGTGTTCACTCTAGGGGGACCAACTTTAAAAATGCATCTGTTTAGGAAGACTAGAGCTGACCGGGCCAAAGCTGCAGGACTTGGATTTCAGCCCCTAGAGGCCCCACAGCTGGAGGGAGCCAGCAGAGACCGTAGGGGGCAAGCACGGACTTGCTTCTGGGGAAGACGTGGGTCTCGGCAGTGCAGACTGGACCTCATGCTGAGGTCCACGACCCTACCCGCCTTTTTCTTTCTCCCTTGTGCGCGGCCCAGCCCCACCCCGCGCTGCCGCTGCCGCTGCCGCTGCCGCTGCCACCCCAGCCGGCCCGCGAGCGCGACGGGAAGCTGCTGGAGGTGATCGAGCGCAAGCGCTGCGTGTGCAAGGAGATCAAGGCACGCCACCGCCCTGACAGAGGCCTCTGCAAGCAGGAGAGCATGCCCATCCTCCCTAGCTGGCGTCGGGGGCCCGAGCCCCGCAAATCCGGCACCCCGCCCTGCCGCCGGCAGCACACGGTCCTCTGGGATACCGCCATCTGAGGCGGGCGGGGGGACGGGGCGCCTGGACTGGGGAGGGAGCAGGCACGCCTGGCTCTCTGGGGAGCCTCGCCTTGAGAGACATTGAAGGACCACGTGGGAGAGTGCCAGGGAGAACCCCTGCCCTCCACCCTGCCCCCGGGATGGGGAGAGTCTGCCAGGCCTATCCGGCTTGGGGTGCCAACAGCGCTGCTGAGAAACTTGGAGGAGGAGGAGGGTTTGCTTGAGGTTGGGGCGAGGGCTCTGGCTGTTCTCCCTGCTGTGCAGTGGACACCCCTCCTCCTGAATCAAGCCAGAGGTCAGCATGGGGAAGGGAGGAAGGAAGGGATGGGAGGAAGAGGTGGGTGGGTGAGCAGAAAGAGAGGGACTAGAGTGCCAGAGGGAGGAGCTCTTTTCTAGAGAGCCGGGAGTCGGGGAGGGGGTATTTATTTTGTTATTTATTTCAGTCTGGAGGGCGATTCTGAGCCCTTCTGACCTCCTGAGCCGGAGTGGAGAATCAGGGCCAAGTTTGCACTCTCCCCAATGCCAATGCCTAAAGGCCCTGCCATCCACACCACCCAACAGCCAAGGAGCAAGGAGGGGTCCGCATGGGGAGTGGACCTAGAGAAGAAGGGGCCCAGGGAAGCAGACGGCTCAAGTCCATTCACAGTATTCACAATTTGCCAGAATTTGGTAGTCAGTGTGGCCTGCTCTGAATCAGGCATCTTATTTAGTTCTGGGGTGAGGGTCTAGCGCCAGGGATGGGTGGGATGATGGGGAGGAAGAGGGAAATTTTTGTGGGTGGGGGTGGGGTGGGCAGGGTATTTATTTAAATTTTAAAAAAAACACAGAAGAGATGTCAGGAACTTTTTTTTAATTCCTTTCTTTTCAGAATAATATATTAAAAGACTCATGATCCTAAAGCTGGCTTCTTCTATTTCACAGTGTGCTCTGCCATTCTTACACTTGCTCCTTTTCCCATCTTGCCCCTGGTTGGTGGGAGTTGAAGGTTGTGTGGGGAGGGGTGAGTAGCTGTGGTCAAGCCACAGGGCAAGGTGGCGTTCCAGGTAAGTCTTTGGAAATGCATCGGGCCATGATTCCATTCCCATTTTTTTTTTGTATGTGCACAGAATGTGTTCTTGGCATTGCACTGATGCAGAAGGAATATTCAGGCACGAAGCTTGCCTTCAAGTACCTTGTGATCTACTCAGGGACGTAAAAACCCTGAGACAGCAATAAACAAGTGTTACAGGAGTAAGAGCTGGGACAGGGCTGGGCGTGGTGGCTCATGCCTGTAATCCCAGAACTTTGGAAGGCTGAGGTGGGTTGGGTGGATCACCTGAGGTCAGGAGTTCAAGAGCAGCCTGACCAACATGGTAAACCTCATCTTTACTAAATAAAAAATAGAAAATTTAGCCAGGTGTGGTGACACATGCCTGCAATCCCAGGCTCCTTGGGAGGCTGAGGCAGGAGAATCACTTGAACCTGGGAGGTGGAGGTTGCAGTGAGCCAATATTGTGACACTGCACTCCAGCCTGGGCAACAGATTGAGACTCTGTCTCAACAACAGCAAAGAGAGACAGAGAGAGAGAGAGAGAGAGAGGAGGACAGGGCTGGAATAATCTAAGAAGGCTTCCTGAAAAATTACCCTAAAAGGACAGGTAAGCTAGTCTGAGCAATATAAAGAAACCCTGTCTCTGAAAAACATGCAAAAATTAGCCAGAGGCATGCGCCTTTAGTCCCAAATACTCAGAAGGCTGAGGTGGGAAGATGGCTGGAACCCAGGAGGTAGAGGCTGCAATGAGCAGAGATCGTGCCACTGCATTCCAGCCTGGGCAACAGAGTGAGATCCTGTCTCAAAAAAAAAAGTCATAGTCACGGTTTGATTTTCTATGGAACAGTAGGAGGTAGGAAGCATGTTTAAATGACAGTGAGAGCATTAAGAGGTCCAGCCATAGGCCAGGTGCAGTGGCTCATGCCTGTAATCCCAGCACTTTGAGAGGTTGAGGCAGGTGGATCACCTGAGGTCGGGAGTTCGAGACCAGCCTGACCAACATGGAGAAACCCTGTCTCTACTAACATACAAAATTACCCAGGCATGGTGGTGAATGTCTGTAATCCCAACTACTAGGGAGGCTGAGGCAGGAGAATCGCTTGAACCCAGGAGGCGGAGGTTGCAGTGAGCTGAGATCTCGCCATTGCACTCCAACCTGGGCAACAAGAGCGAAACTCCATCTCAAAAAAAAAAAGAGGTCCAGCCATAATGAAGCTGATTCAGAAAGGCTGGCCACAAGGCAAGATGCAGGTCCTCACTAGGGAAGCCAGGGGGATCCTGCCGGGAGGTGATCTGTCACCAGGGAGGAGGTTAAGGAGGGTGTCTGGGAGGATGGAGAGCTAGGGACAGTCGCAAGAGGCCACTGAAAGGATGGGGGTGAAGGAGCAGAATCGGTCATACAAGATGCCCAAGTTTGGAGCTCCAGTGATTGGGGAAATGACAGAGAGAGACAGGTGGGCTTGAGAGTGACTTTGGAGGAAGAATGCTGAATTTGAAGCAATGTTGAATATTCAGGTTGAATGGTTCGTTACTTAATAGAACTGTTTCAGAAAATGTGAATAGCCAGGCGTGGTGACTCACACCTATTATCCCAGTACTTCGGGAGGCCAAGGCAGGAGGATCACTTCAGGCCAGGACCAGCCTGGGCAACATAGACCCCCATCTCCACAAATAATAATAGTAATAATAATAATAAAATAGTTGGGCTTGGTGGCACACGTCTGTAATCAATACTGTGAATGGATCCTGACATGGGAGGATCGCTTGAGCTCAGGAGTGAGCCATGATTGCTGGGCTGTTGCTCCAGCCTGGGCAACAGAGCGAGACCCCGTCTCCAAAAAAAAAAAAAAAAATGTGGTAGATGCCACAGATGTTTTTATACTGTGTGAAGAACATTTTTTAAAACTTTAAAGTTTTATATTTATTTTCATTTATAATAGAAAAGTTATAACCAACACATTAGACAACTTATTTCATGAATGTGTTTGCACAAAATGAATTTACATTTATTTTTAATGAGCTGGTTTAAATAAAAAATATTAAGCCAATAAATAATAGTACAGGCAATGTATAGAATATGAAAAATGATGACAGTGGTATGTGAGTTTTTGAAATTTAAGAAACAAGTTAAAATGATGATAGCTTGGGAGACAGGACAAGACCCTGGACATTAGGAGTCGTTGACATAGAAATGGCATTCAAGTCCAGGCACAGTGGCTCACACCTGTTATCCCAGCACTTTGGGAGGCCAAGGCAGGCAGATCTCCTGAGGTCAGGAATTTGAGACCAGCCTGACCAACATGGAGAAACCCTGTCTCTACTAAAAATACAAAATTACCTGGGCATGGTGGCGAATAATCCCAGCTGTAATCCCAGCTACTTTGGGAGGCTAAGGCAGGAGAATCGATTGAACCTGGAAGGCAGAGGTTATGATGAGCTGAGATAGCACCATTGCACTCCAGCCTGGGCAACAACAGCAAAACCTCGTCTCAAAAAAAAAAAAAAAAAAAAGGGCACTGAAGCCCAGGACAGCTAAAGCTGAGCTCTGCAAGGAGGGCAGGGCTAGAGAAAAGAGCTAGGAATGAAATACAGGCCAGGCGCAGTGGCTCATGCCTGTAGTCACAGCACTTTGGTAAGCCAAGGTGAGAAGATCACTTGAGGCCAAGAGTTCCAGACAAGCCTGGGCAACAAACCTCATCTCCTCATTTCTACAAAAAAAATTAATAAAAATTATCTGGGTGTAGTGGTGTGCACCCACAGCTGGAGTTCCTCAGGAGTCTGAGATGGGTGGATCCCTTGAGCCCAGGAATTAGAAGCTGCAGTAAGGTATGATCCCTTCACTGCATTCCAGCCTGGGCAACAGAGTGAGATCCCCAACTTGAAAAAAACAAAAACAAAACAAAGCCCAAGATATAAACAGGCAGTAGCTTTTTTTAACTACTACCTTTTTTTTTTTTTTTTTTAAGCTTTTTTAAACAGAAAATTAGGCCAGGTGCAGTGGCTCACGCCTATAATCCCAGCACTTTGGGAGGCCAAGGTGGGCAGATCACTTGAAGCCAGGAGTTCGAGACCAGCCTGGCCAACATGTTGAAACCCTATCACTACTAAAAATTTTTTTAAAAATTATGTCAGTCAATGATACTCCTCTCTACAGGTAAAAAATAAAATAAAATAAAATAAAATAGGCCAGGCGTGGTGGCTCATGCCTGTAATCCCAGTACTTTGGGAGGCTGAGGCAGGCAGATCACGAAGTCAAGAGATTGAGACCATCCTGGCCAATACGGTGAAACCCTGTCTCTACTAAAAATACAAAAAAATTAGCCGTGCATGGTAGCACACACCTGTGGTCCCAGCTACTTGGGAGGCTAAGGTGGAAGAATCACTTGAACCCAGGAGGGGAAGGTTGCAGTAAGCCAAGTGACAGAGCAAGACTCCATCTCAAAAATAAATAAAAATTTAAAAAATAATAAATAAAATTTTAAAAAATAAATAAAGTAAATTAGCTGGGCATGGTGGCAGGTGCCTATAATCCCAGCTACTCAGGAGGCTGAGGCAGGAGAATTGCTTGAACCCAGGAGGCAGAGGCTGCAGTGAGCTGAGATGGCTCCACTGCACTCCAGCCTGGGCCACAGAATGAGACTCTGTCTGTAAAAAAAAAAAAAAAAAAAAAGATAGGCTATGCTCCAGGGGCATAGGAAGCCAGGCTATGCGTTTGAGGCCAGCCTGGGCAACATAAGAACCTCTCATTCATTTAAAAAAAAAATTGGCCGGGCACAGTGGCTCACACCTGTAATCCCAGCACTTTGGGAAGCCCAGGCAGGCGGATCACGAGGTCAGGAGTTTGAGACCAGCGTGGCCAATATGGTGAAACCCCGTCTCTACTAAAAATACAAAAAATTAGCTGGGGATGGTGGTACGCGCCTGTGGTCCTAGCTACTCAGGAGGCTGAGGCAGAAGAGTCACTTGAACCCAGGAATTGGGATTTCAGTGAGTCAAGATCATACCACTGTACTCTAGCCTGGGCGACAGAGCAAGACTCCCTCTCAAAAACAAACAAACAAACAAAAAGATAATTAATGGAAGGGGGCTGGACACGGTGGCTCACGCTTGTAATCCTAGCACTTTGGGAGGCCGAGGTGGGTGGATTGCCTGAATTCAGGAGTCTGAGACCAGCCTGGACAACATGGCAAAACTCCATCTCTACTAAAAATGAAAAAAATTAGCTGGACATGGTGGCATGCACCTGTAGTCCCAGTAACTGAGGAGGCTGAGTTAGGAGAATCACTTTCATCTGGGAGATGGAGGTTGTGGTGAGCCGAGATCATGCCACTGCATTCCAGACTGGGCAACAGAGAAGGAAATACTCCATTCATAAGAGCAATAAAGGCCGGGCGCAGTGGCTCAAGCCTGTAATCCCAGCACTTTGGGAGGCCGAGGCGGGTAGATCACGAGGTCAAGATATCGAGACCATCATGGTCAACATGGTGAAACCCCGTCTCTACTAAAAATACAAAAAATTAGTCAGGCATGGTGGCACGTGCCTGTAATCCCAGCTACTCGGGAGGCTGAGGCAGGAGAATTGCCTGAATCCCGGAGGCGGAGGTTGCGGTGAGCTGAGATCGTGCCATTGCACTCCAGCCTGGGTAACAGCAGCGAAACTTCGTCTCACAAAAAAAAAAAAAGAGCAATAAAAACCTTAAATAGGAGTAACATTAACAAGAAATTATAGAACTATATTGGATCAGTTGATAACACTAAAGTATTTGGAGTCACTTAAAAAGGAAGACCTGGATAGCTTCGGTGGCTTATGCCTATAACCCAGCACTTTGGGAGGCCGAGGCAAGTGGATCACCTGAGGTCAGGAGTTTG